CCCCAAAACCCCAAAACCCCTTCATACAATCTGATGATTATTAATCATTTAAAATTTAAATTAGACTAATGAAATTATTGAACCTCTTATAATCATAAATTAACAGGTTTTTATCTCTATCTTTAGTCTTGAGGTCTTTTCTGATTGAGAAGTAACAAAATTATCTCACTTATATCCTTAGATGTTTTATCCTCAAATTCCTACCTATTGTTTGGGGATCTATTTCTATAGCTAGATTTGTTTCTATTATTGTTCAGAGGACTCAGCTTCCTTCGCACATTAACATTTTACTTACTCATTTTCATTATAGATGTTGGACTCTAAGATATCTCTGTTTCATTATGTACTCTGGATCCTGCTCTATGTTTAAAGTAATTTTACTATGCTGTCTAAATATTTTCATGAATGCTTATGTTATTAGGATTCTTAGTTTTACTAGTATCATTACCTATGCTTGTGCCTTTGAAAAAATTATTCCTATTATAGATCTACTCAAAATCCAAAGAAGGAAGTATCATTCCACTAGTCTTCTTTTTATCTTGATTAGCCTGCCCAGAGCTGCTCTGTATCTATGAGTAGGAGCTTATTTTCTTTTCATTGATATTCTCAATAAGTCTGCTTCTATCAATGTTATTAAATGTTTAAGTATTATAATCAGGTTTTGCTATTTAAACCTAATCAGAGTAAATGCGTTATACTTCTAAATTTTTAGAGTCCTTCATCTACTTTAGATTTTATAGTATACTATAGGTTTCTTTGAAGCTAATCTTTGTAGGTGAAGTATTCATTAAACTCACATCCTATATGGATGTTCTGAAATTACTTGCAGGTTAAATATAATACATACTTGCGCTTTGCCCTTCATTGGTTGCTTTAGCTGGTTTTGTTTAAGGAAAAATCACCAAATTATCAATAAAACTGCTTGTGTCGTTCGATTCCCTTTTAAGACTCGTATTGAGTTTTAATTTCCGAATTTTTTAAATGGGAGACTTTACAGATTCATCATTAGTTGTTATACTCTGCTTATAATTCTCTGAATTCCTAGCACTTTGCTCAGTGCCTATTATTTTTTCAACTGTCTGCTTTTCAAAATCTATCATATCAACAGTTATATTATTATCACGTCGAGTCTTCTTTACAGGCTAACTATTTTACCTCTACTTAGTTTTCTCAATAATTTTTTGAAGCTTTAACTATCTTCTTTCTTCATTGGTACGATCTAACTCTTGCTAAAGCTTCTCTTACTTTTTCCTTTCTTCTGTTTACTACCTTCTCTTCTCTTCCATTCTTTTCTAAAATCATTCATCAGCCATTATTCGCTTTTTCTCCTTTTCCTCCTCATATTTTATTTTCATAATCTTTTCATCTTCTTGCTGTTTCAGCTTTAGTTCTTTTTCTTTTTATTTTTACTACTCCTATTCTATTTTTTGTTTGTGGTAGGTCACTTTCAAAAAATCTAGCTCATGTAGGTAATCAATAACATCTGGTCTTTATTATAGTAAATCTAGCTACAGATGTAAGTCTTTTGTTTTTAGTCTTGATAATATTTGAGTCTACAATTCATTATCAAGGTTCTTTTGTAATAATATTTTGACTAAAAACAATAAAATCCCATTTTCAATTGCTTTTATTTTTAGTTGTTCTTTTTCCTTTGTAAGCTTTGGAACATACAATTTTAAATTATTCTGATCAATTTGTAGACACATTATGAATATTCTATACGATATATCTCCAAATTTTTGAGCATTTTCATCACTCATATTATCTAGCTTAGTCTTGATAAAATTTTATAACACCCCAATCATATATTTGTTTTCTATAAACCCAACTTACTAACTTAAAGCCTTTGCAAATATTTCTAAATTCTCAAATAATGGTAATCTATACTTTTAAGGTATCTAATCATTTTCAATTAATTTTATGAGTTTATCAATAACCATTTGATTTTGGAAGTACATAGCTCCTTTTGAATTAGTCAAGACCTCATATGCATCAAGGCATTTCTTGATCTACTTATCATCAAATAGCTCCCATTATTATATCTTGCCTATCATTTTATTGAGCAAGTAATCAAATTGACTCTAAGTAATAACTATCTCTTTCTTAGTGCACAAATCTTTGGTCTCTTATAATATATCTTTTTTAAAATTATCGTTTCGCTATCTAGTTTTTTATTTACTGAATTATTATTACAATAACCCTAAAGTTTCTGCTGAAGCTATTGCCTATTCAAATGTGCTGATTTAAGGAGTCCTACCATTGATTTTCGCAAGTAGCTGCTGATTCTATTCAATTATTTATTGAAGCTATTTATATTCCTCTTATTTCTGAACAGGATTTAACTTAACTCTGCTGCTTTAAGACCCTGTTGAGAGCTATGAAATTATTTCCTTCTAAGTATATATTTGGAGATCCTTCTTACCAGATAAATAGCCGATATTTAAAGTCACTCTACTATTTTAATCATTCACAACACTTATAGTATACTTTGAAAGCTTTTCAAAGTTTTGTTGTTGTATGATCTATTATTACAGCTTAAATCTTTCCTTTCTGATTTTGAGGATATCATTTTTCTTTTCTTTACCAATAACCTGTTTAACTTATTCTATAGGATATAATAATTCTAATCCAAATGATCTCCTTTAGGAATATTCTGGTACATCTGAAAGTATCAGTTCAAATCTATTTTAATTATTATCGATATCCTTATAACTTGACCCAGGAATGACTATTTTGAACATATCCCTGATCATTTAAGGGAGTAGATTCTGAATGAAGTTATTTGGAATTCCAAGGTAAGGATTATTATTAACTTCAAGCAACCATAATCTGAAATCTTCATCAATTAAGAAATCGTATCCTAGAAGCTAAAACTGGTTTTTTCTTTTTTAAGGATTCAAATCCTATTTTACTGATTAAATTGTATCAATAATAATATCTTTCATTCTTGGGATAAAATCTCGCTAGATGTCTATCTTTAGATCTTTAAATTCTTTGTTTAGATAATTTTGGAAAAATTAAAAACTTAGAGTATTACCGTCCTCATGCTGGCCATATTAGTTACCTTTTTACTATAGACAATTATTGGTCAGGTGTACATATTTATTTTCATCTTGTAAATCGTAATTGCTGCTTGAAGTTCTAAGATAACCCTCTTGGTACATGTAGAGATTCAAATCTACTCCATTCGTTCCTAATGTAACAAGTACCCATATCCTGATGTCAAATTTCCTCTTTTCAAACAAGAGAGGTCTCTCAACATACTTTTATATGACCCAGTAGTTATTTTGAGTATCGTTGTTTTCTAAGTACTCAAATATTTAGTTGATTTTGCTAAATATCTAGATTCCTCTACCTTAATTCAATGTAGCAGGCTTCAATAACCACATATTTTTGGAACAATGCTTGGCAGGCAGATTTTCTTTAAGACTTAGGCCTTCACTTCCAGCAAGATCTGAGAAACGCTTTATAAATCTGTACATGTCAGTTGTCTTGTATTATGAACTGACAATAAATGTGGTTGGCACTATATCAAACACCTAAGTTACCTCCATATTTGGATTCTGCTCCTAGATATCAGTATAGTATCTCCTAAGCGAGCGAATTAATCCAGTCTTTGTTGTGATGTTTCTCATGTTCTCAAGATTGTTAAGTATTCTTGGCACATTTGGACCCAGTTATTTGTTCATTTAATCCCACATAGTTTGTGCCTTGAATGATAGATCTATGGGTTTCCAAACAAGATTACATTCCTTCATACATTTCTCCTCTTAAGTGTAGGGAATCTCCTCAAAGTTTTTATTCTCTAAGAGGATATTTCTGATCTCTTACCCGTGATTGCCTGGGTATATTGTGTACTTTAAAATTTAATTAGCCCAGTTATATTCCATTATCAAATTATAACTTAATTTTAAAAAATGTCTTTGGCCTTGAAAGAGTAATTTGGAATAGTTGCATTAGCTGTGGTAAATGGTGTGTTCGTTTTTCCATCACTCAAAAGAGTTTATCGTTAATTTCACGAAAATAGAGCACAAGCTACACATTATGTATCAATTACTTCAACTAACATATTTCTAAGGCGTTTTTCGATATTGATATAGATGGAAAGGATGCTGGCAGAGTTAATTTTGAGTTATATGGAAATTAAGCCCCAAAGACTGTCAATAACTTTCTGGCATTTTGTACTGGGGATTACTCCTAATACATGAGATATACTGATTCCAAGTTCCATTAAGTGGTGCCAGGCAGGTTTCTCAAGGGAGGAGATTTTGTTTACGGTGATGGAACAGGCTCAGCCACAGTTTACGATTCAGATTCATTCGAGAGCGAGAAAAATAATCTGAAATTCAAAGAGCCTTACTTATTAGCAGCTTCAGCTAACTCTCAAGGTCATGTAGGGTGCTAGTTCTTTGTGACTCTAGATAGTCTTCCTGCTTTAAACGGCAGTAATCACACTGTGTTCGGTAGAATGATATCAGGAGCTGATACTATTGGAATGATTGAAGGAATCAATGAATTCAGAGTTACAAAGTCACTGATCGAAAAAAAGCCCCTCTCTGAGATTGAAAAGGCCAAGGTTGTAATTAGAAATTGTGGAGTATACAAATTTGAATAGAGACTGAGTCAGTAGAGGAAGCGATCTGCTGTGGACTAGGTTGATTTCAAGCCATCTGAATTTATGCAAGACAGAAGAAATAAATGAAATATCAATATTCTGTCCAAGTAGGGATTGTTAATTCTATCGATTAACTAAAGTTAATTTAATATAATACTAAATTATCAACCTCAAATTTATTATTATATAATAATGAACAATTCAATTGCCAAACAATCAAGCCTTATCAGCAATGTGGCCAAACGTGGTCTAATGAGTATTCATTTCAGCATTTTTAATATTAACATAAAGTGATGAGATAGAGCACAACTGATGTTGAGTTGAACGGCTTTAAAATTACAGCAGTTGACGATGTTGATTCTCACAAAGATCTGATATTCCTTCATGGATTATTGGGCCAAGGGAAAAATTGGAGATCATTCGCTCTTAATGATGTCGTAAGACAACTTAATTATTAATATGAAACATAGATATCTTCAAAGAGAAATGTATACTTGGTAGATATAAGGAATCACGGAGAGTCTGATCATCACATGAGCATGACTTACAGAGAAATGGCAGACGACGTTCTGAGGTATGCAGACACCAAGCAAATAAACAGATTTTCCTTGCTTGGTCATAATCTCGGTGCTAAAGTTGCAATGACTCTGGCTTGCTCTCACCCAGATAGAGTCAACACACTTATCAGTATTGATACTGCACCTAAGAGTTTCGCTAATGATAAGCAAATAGTCAATCAAACCATTGAGAGCATCTAGAAGATTAAGAACTTGAATATCGAGGGCAAGACCAGAAAGACTGCTATGGACGTCATACAGTAAAGTTTTAAAGACCCAGGCATTGCTAATTTTGTTGCCAGCAACTTAGTATATGATGAGTCAAATGATAGGAAATTCGTCAAATGGTGCGTAGATCTAGACGCAATTCTGTTGAATTATGAAAACATCATTGGGTTTGATGATAAAATAGAACCCTACTAAGGACCATCCTTATTCTTGAATGGGAGTCTTAGTGTTAAGCATGATGAGAGTGTATATAAAAAGCACTTCCCCAACTGTACAATTGAGACTGTTGAAGGGGCAGGTCACTACCTACACACTGATAAACCCAAAATAGCAGTCACAAGTATTGCTAGATTCTTAGATCAAAATGAAAGAAATGAAAGGTAAACAGCTGCTGCTCTATGAGACAATTAAAGTCATTGAAGGATAAATAGATTACAAACACAATCATATCATATCATCATATGTATAAATTTATTTTAAACTTTATTTCTTAAAGTTACTACTTTAAAATCTTCTCAATTTACCTCAGTGGGGTTTTGGGGTTTTGGGGTTTTGGGG